GGGGGGGGTGTGCCCATTTTTCGGTTTTATCGAAGGTAGGGGAGTGAGGGCCGGCGTCTGGTTGTGCCATAGTTGGCATGTATTCTGGCTGGGTGGACGTTTGTGGGTGGGTGGCTGACGTGTACGATCGTGTGTTACTCGGCGAAAGATCTGTTAGTGCGCCGACACAACACACTGAGAGGGAATCCTGTCCGAATGCTCTCTCTGGTTGTGCTTCCATTATTGAGTCTGCAATGGACAGGACACGCACATTTCAAATACACTGACCATACACACGCGCGCACACGACCAGATGGCAGAGCTCAGAGTTTTTCTCATGCCGCCGTCATTCGTCTAATCGAAGAGGCAGCCGAAAGACAGGGCAGCAGGGCATCTTGCAATAAGAAACCAGAGCTCAGAGTCCAGTTACTTAGGTACTCACACCGAAGACACTCTCACAGAGAGGCAGCGACATGTAGGCATTCCCACTGCATCCATTCATAAACGTCAAGGCAGATAAGGGGCCAGCCATACTTCCTCTCGCGCCTTTAAAAGAGTCCAGTAGTTGAGAGGCTGTGGAATGAACCGCCGCTCTGCTGCTCGATCACCAGGTCCCGCTTCTCGTCTCAGTCCAGCCGCATCAACAGGAAGCCTAATTGTGGCCAGAGGGGCTAAGGGAGGGAAGGAAGCAGTCCCGTGCAGAGCTAGCGAGACAGAGAGCCGCGTGTCCCCCTCTTCGGTATTTTCCCTCTGTGATGAAGGGGCGATGCACAGCTGAAAAGGGGGCAGTAGGGAAGAGAACCGCTGCTGCTTGTCGTGTTGGTGGTCGTCCGCAGTCGTTGTCCTGCAGACCAGCCTCTCTCCCACCAAACACTCCAGCTCATCATCCCAGCGCACGCCAACACTTGACGACGGTAAACCAGCGATCACCATGTCAGCGACACAGAAGGCCCCCTTTGTGCTGTGCTCCTGGCCTTTCCTGAGAATCCTCCACTCGAGCGCAGAGCTCTTGTCGTGCGTAGCCTTGTGCATGATGACAGACACAGCCGAGAGGACCTCTGTCGCCATGGTATGCTTTCCGAGATGCAGAGCGGGAAGCATATCTTGCGATATGTCGACGGGCAGTCTCTTGAGGCACTTGAGCCAATGCCGATGGTAGCCGATGTCTCCCTGAATTCTTGCGATCAACTTCCATGGAGAGAGCTTGCCGGCGAGGAGCGCGGCGACCGTCCCCTCGATGCGATCACGGCTGGTGTCGTCGGCTGCGATGGATGGGTGGAGTGTGGGTGCGATAGGCGAAGATAGAGCCAGCCAGAGGGGGGCGTCAGCATGGTCGTCTGCCGTCTGCTGGGTGGTTGACAACAAGAGCTGGGTGAAGGCTGGATGCATGTGGTATGCCTCTGCCAGGCGATCCCGCAATGCCTGATCAGTACATGACACATCAAGGCATGCACACACGGACGAGTGACGATGGCATATATGCACCCACCTTCAGGTAATCGACAATTCGCTCCATCTCCTTCTCAAAAATCTCGATGAGCGGCACCCACCGCATGACTCTCAGCCCTTCTTCCCTCCTCTCGCCCTTCACAGGCCTGACGGCCCTCTTGATCACATACACCAACCGCTCCAGCACTCTTCTGATCACCGCTCGCCACACACGTGGGCTGACGATGCCGGATGAGGCTGGTGCAGGAGAGAACATTGAGGGAGGTGGCTGACCGAGGGTGAACTTGGGCCTTGATGATGGGGCGGGAGGGGCCAGGAGGAGGACCGACAGGGCGTCTGTCAGCCGCCTCGTGAAGTCGAGAAGAGATGAGGGATCTGCAGATGGGAAAGAAAGAGACATGGGAGCTTCTGGTGCTGCTGGGGTCCTGAGGCTGCTGAACGCGGAGGAGAGTATCCATCTCATGCAGGCCTCCACTGCCCCTGTCCCTTCGTCGATGTGTCCGGCTTCCCTGCCAGTGCCGTTGCCGTTTGCCCTTTGGGTGAAGACGCGCAGTGGGGGAAGAGGTGGAGGCAGCAGCAGCTCAGACAAATACGAGGGGCCGGTGGGCCTCTCGGGGTCAGCAACTCCTACTTGTGTCGAAGACGTGCCCTTCGCTTGGGTGTACCTCCGCCTAACCAGACATACAGACATATGTATACACCAAATACACCATCTGTCTCCCCCACCTCACCTTTCCATAAGAGGGCTTTGTCGTGCCGGGGCGTCTTTCGGCGGCTCTGGCTGCATTGAAGGCTTCCTCACATACAAAGGCTCGTCACTGTTGACGGGCAGTAGCGACGCGCCTTCGACGGCACGCACCATCTCTCTGCGGAAGAGATCCACCGCTACACCCAGCCAGTGCGAGACCAGAGATGTATCGACAGCGTCGAGCCATCCACAGGACTGTAGTGTCGTCTTGACAAGCAGCCATAGCCGCCGGGAGAACACCTCGACTGACTGGTGCTTCTTCAGCCTGCCCCCGGCAAGTGGCAGGGGAAGAGCCTTCATGAGTGCCGTGAAGTCATGTTCCTCGATGTAGCTCAGCAGCTGGGCGAAGAATGCCTCCACGTTCACTATGGCACTCGTCAGCTGGGCGAAGGAGATGCTGATTTGGCTCCGTCTCTGTGTGTGCATGCTCAGCAAAGTGAAGAGCCACATCAAGAGAAACACGACCCTCTGGCTCAATGCGAGTACGCCAGAGACCACCTCTCGAGGCCAATCGGAGGATGCACCATTGCTCTCGGCGACTGGAGGGGGCGGCGGATTGGCACCCACATGCTCATATGCACTCGCAGAGGGATAAATAGCCGCAGTGCTCCTCACAGCGGATGAAAGGATCGATGCCGCATCAGCAGCCTCGGAGACACGGCAGTAGAGTGATTGGCGGACGATCGATGGAGCCAGAACCCGCTCTATCTGCAGGGGAGAGGCCACAACGAGGCAGACTTTCGCCTTGTTGCCAAGCTGCGGTGCGATGGGCCCCTCCCCCCTGCAGATCTCGATTGGCCAGAAGGCGTCCACGGGCATGTGGGAAGGAGGGTCTGAGCGCAGCCTCTCTCGTACCAGCTGCTCCACCAGCTCTATGAGGGTAATCGGGATATCCGCATGTTTGTTGCACGCTCGCTTGGATGACCGATGAGCGGTGACTGCACACACGGATGGACACAGACGTTGGATGCTGTTCGTGTGGGCAGAGATGTCTGTCCATCATTTTGTCACCTTCCAGCCCATCTTGCCGTACGTCCGCATCACACGCCAGATGAGCGTCATGGACTACAACTAAGGTGCCCTGCTTCAGAGCCTCGCCAACATCCCCGGCCTTGCCCATGCCGGCAATGCCCTGCTGCAAGGATAGGCGGAGACATGGCATATCGAGCGTAGGGATCGCCTGTGGAGGCCCGTGTATGATGATCGGTGAAAAGGGCAGTAGAGACGTGGGGGAGAGGTGGCTCTCGATGGACCTGGATATGAACGACAAGAAGTCGTGGGAAGAGCCCTCAGGCTGGTCCAGGAAGCTCCCCAGGTCATTCTGCCCGCCGTCAGTCCACCTATGTCTCCAGCTCCTGCCTTTCAGAGCAAAGCCCACGAGAGCCCTCAGAATCCTCTGTCGATCGGCCGGGCGCAGCGCACACCCCACAATGGCGAGAAGCAGCATGTGGGTCGAGCAGTCTGCGGTTGGAAGCGGCGCTGGTAAGTCGGGCAGCTGCTGTGTCGTGTTGTCTTCCAAGATTAGCAGCATTCGCTCCGCCCACTGGCGCCACAGCCTCGGCAGATGCCGGAAGCGATGTGGCCACGAGTGCATTGTCGGCGCGTCGCCGTCCGTCACTCTACGCCTCCTGCTCGGCGATGACGCTCGAGGGCTCTCCTCATCTTTCTCCCTCAGCAATCGGAGAGACGGTACCATATCCTCCAAGTCGCTCAGTATTCGGAAGACCATCCAATTGTGGCTCAGCTCGCCAAAGTTGACGACAGCCAAAGCGTCTTCATGTATATCGGGTGCCTCTCCCGTGTTTGCGACGATACCCGCCTTGTGGATGTCGTCTGCGGTGATGCGGTGGTCCCCCTGGGCCTGTCTCATTTTGAGTCTGTACATGGGGTCCAGCTCAAGCTTGTGTCTCTCTTCTCTCGTCAGCACGTCGGGCCGCGGCGAGAGCAGGTGCTCCACAAGAGACACGTCTTTAAACATGTCGTAGCGGGACATGTCGTGAGAAAAACGCAACAGAGTTGCATTTTCCGCAGCTGAAGGGATGTTGCTGGTCCACGGGAAGCCGAATGCCAGGCACATCGCGAAGTCGTCATAAAACTGCGGGGGATGCCGCATGGCGAGCAGACGGAACAATCTCGATCGAAACGGCTCGGTGCTGCTCTTGGCGGTCTCAGCTGAGGTTCGTCGGCCATTGCGATTCTCCTGCCCCTTCCTCTTGTGCTGTGTGTCGGGCTTCTTCCCTTGCGGACCACCACCATGTGCACGAGTGTCTTCGTCCGCCGCCAGAGCCAGATGGACCAGTCGCTGGCAGGCGTCCATCGACGTCGGTCGGGTATGGCTGCAGGAGAGATAGCACATAATGGTGTGGACACCCGTCTCTATCAGCGGAAGAAAGGTCTCGAGGGAGTCATTGATGATCATAGTCTCCAGCTCATCTGATCGCCGAAGGGATGCGTGGATCTCGTCATGCTCATTCTGAAGGTGCAAAGAGAAGTATACACGTGAGACCATTTTCTGTGTGTGTAACTCTCCCACCTTCAGCTGCGTCAGTCCTTCGAGCACATCAAGCCCCACTTGGAAGCCGGCCGTGCGTCTGGTCGCCTGCCCGTTGCCCTCATCGCTTGCCTCATCCAAGACCCCACCTTTCAGCAGCTGCTCGTGAAACTGATTGGACTCATATGTCCTCACGAGGTAGTCCAGCAGCTGCTCCTTTGCATAGTGTAGCTGATGATGCGACCGAGCGCCCTCGGCAACCTGTCGCAAGAAACAGAGGCAGAGAGGGACTCTGTACACACATATGTCTCTCGGGCTTACAGCTTTGATCTTCTCTTCGAGGAACTCCTTCTTTTCCTCGAGCATGAGGGCCTCCCAGACGCATTTGACCACCGCATTGCGGCCCCCCGAGAAGTCAACCATTGTGCCATAAGGCGACCAGCGATCAATCACGTGACGTCGCTCACTCTCGCCATACAAGAGATAGAGGCGGAAATCCGGGTGCACTGGGGTGAGGTCATTCTGCAGAAGTATGGTCTGCATGCCATCAGTGGCCCAGGATCTGTCTCGATGTGCTGCCCAGTGGTTGTACGACAGGATGCCCTCCTTCTTGATGCGATCTGCGTCGATTCCCTCGGGGTCCAGCCATTCTTCGAGCTGTCTCAACATCTGACGGCCTTCATCCTCGGTGATCAGGTGCGTGGCTCGTTTGAGCAGCAGAGTGATAAGGCGCTCCGCCTCCTGCAGCTCGTCTGCGGGCATGGATGGCGTGGTAGAGAATTCGATGACCAGCGGAGTGCCTGTCTTCAGGCAGTAGTCGATGGCCTGAAGGAACATAAAGGCTCACGAAGAGAAGCCTGCACGTGTGGCCAGGCCTCACTTTCAAGAGGGATGAGCTCCTCAGACCAGGAGTGCCCAGCGATACAACAAGAGGCCGAGACACGTCTTCCTTCAGCACCGCAGACTTTGCCTGGGGTGTCTTCACTCGTCCAATGCCGCCCTCGGCCACGCCTCGCATGTGACACCGAAGCAGAAACTTCATGGCCATATTGAATGGGTCGTATATCAACGGCGGCAGCCACCTTCTCCTTCCCGTCTCCTCCATGCTTGGAGGGACAGCGGACCAGTGGATCCTCAATGCACTGTCGAATGAGTCTTCATCCGGCAGCAACCCGTCAAGGGCAGTCCAGAAGCGGTACAAGCTTTTCGTGGGCAGAGGAGCGGGGGGAAGAGATGTGACCAGGTCAGACGCCTGTGTGGGTATGCCCATGGCTGTGAGGGCTTCCCGCCACCTGTTGAGGATCAGCAATCGGAGGGGGTACGGAAAGGCCCCGAGCAGGTGCATGTTGCAGGACATCAGAAGGGCGTCGCTGAGGAGGAAGCGACGCTGGTCGAGACTGTGGGTCAGCAGAGACAGCCACCGGTCCTGAAAAACCCAGACAAGCGATTCGTCAAACGGACAGCCTCCTGCGATATTCGCTGACCTTTTCTGTTTGCAGCATACTGAGCGCTCTGTCGAGCCTCCCACCCCTCTCATTGACGTCGGCCAAACTCTGCGTGAGGCTCTCCCTCTCGGCCGTGGCGTCGAACAGCTTCCGTTGCAAGTCCGCCAGCGTCTCGTTGGACTGTCTTGCATCCTCTCTGGACTCCTGCGTGACCTCTGCCAACTCACTGTGCGCGACTTCCGTCGCTGCAAGTTCGCGTCGCTTCTTTTGAAGCTGATAATAGACACACATGGTGAGACATGCGCGGGACTGTTCACAAGGATCAGAACACAGCTCTCACCTCAACAGCTATCTCTGCAGCATCAACGATGGCTTTGCACCACACGTAGAGGGCCGTCACAGCAGGGGTGGCAGCAGCAGATATCCATTTGAACGCGACGCCCGTCGCGAGCTCCTTGGGACACTCGTCGAGGCACCGCTTCAGAGCAATTAGCTGGCCCTCTGTCATCTCCTCTTTGTTGAAGGTCGTGAGCTTTCTGGCTGCACCACGCGCGCCTGCAGGTGTCTGCATGAAGGCCCTGCTTAAAAACAGATTCCAGAAATCCTGCGGATCGCCCTCAAACTCGGCCTCGTCTGCAGCGTGGAATCATTGTCACAGTCACACAATAGCTCGTCAAGATGTCGCTTACTCGTCTTCGGTTCCTCTTCTCCCTCTGTTGCGTCGACTGCTGCTGCAACTGCTGGTGCAGGCCTCCTAAGCTTGAGGCCTAGCGCCACACACGTGGTCTGCACGATCTTCTTGGTCTCATTCTTTGGCTTCTTGATCGCCGACAGAGCATCGAGCTCCTTCCCAGTGGCAAGCCGCTCGGCAACTATCCTGTCAGCGGCACTGCTGGCTGCCGACAGGCGCCGCGAAAGCAAGTCACACTCTGAGGTGAGTGTCTCCATTTGCATGCGCTTTGTCTGTTCCTCGAGGTAGATGCCGGTAGACAACTTCTGTTTGAGCCTGTCGTTGATCTTCTTGGCGGCCTCCATCTGCTCCGTGTGGTCCTCGATGTAGGCGCTGATGCTCTGCGTGTCACAACAGAGCTTAGAGACACCTCGTCGAGTCTTTGCTCTTTTATTCTCTAGCGCTGACCTTCAGCCGCGGCGTGACGATGTTGACATATTCCTGTAGTCTGTCAGACTTCCCCTCAGAGGCTTCGATCAGCTCCTTTACACGCGACAGCCTTTCACATGTCCTTGTGTTGTGGTTCACACTCAGTGACAAAATGTCGCACGCCATCTCCACGATATCGATCAGCCTCGTCGGACTCGCACAATAGGCCTGGACGCGTTGAAGGTCCTCCAGCCGCAAGAACGGATCTGGCATCGTGAAAGGGCCGTATCTGGCCTGCGATGGCCCACTTGCGATGCAAAGCGGGTTCCAGTCATTCGATGACACCAGTCCCCTCAGCTCTGCCAATGGTGTCAATCTTGGCGTGCCGGCTTGGTCCTCTTCGCTGCTTTTGCGACGCAGGTCATCCCACATTGACGCAGCGCAGGCCTTGAAGGCCTCTTCGGTGACTTGGAAGCTCTTGAACTCGGCAAAGAGGCGGCCCAGAGCCTTCGTGATCAGCGACACGGCCTCTGTCGGCTGGAAAGAGAAAGCCATCTGAGTCTGGCTTCGCTGAATGGTCCACTCGTAGACAGTTGTGATCGCCGTGTCATTTGCTTGGGCTTTCTTGAGATGTGTGAGATGTCTCGAGGCAATGTCGATGCACGCAGGCAGCGGCAGGGGATTGAAATAAATGACCTGGGACCGCGACGGATCGCATAGGGAGTTGCTCTCCATCAGTTGCCGAAGCGGCTCAGATCTCGGCTTCACTTGTGGCTGTTTGCCTTCTTGGAGCAGGATATCAGTGACTCGGGGGTCTCGATCCTGCTTGGCCGTTGCTGTGATGACTGCAATCGTGACAGTGGGTAAGAAGAAGTGGTGCATGAGAAGGGACATCAATGTTGCTTTCGACAGCCACTGAGACGGCTTGAAGTCTGAAGGCTCGGAAAGCAAAGGCTCGACCGCCCGCCAGAATGCTGCTTCTTCTGCATCCTTTGCCGCCTGCACCTCGGCTTCGCGGCCTCGTCTTCGTTTCTTCTCCTTCTCGCCGTCCTGCTTGCGTCGCTCAAGGGATTTCTGATGCTCAACAGCTCCCTGCTCCAATGCGCGTCGCACCAAAAGGTATGTCTCGTCGAGACAGTCGCCGATAGCGTAAAGCAGGCCGTTCAGGTTCTCCCCAAAAGATGGGTTGTCGTCCAGCAGGCTGCCCCAGGAGCCGCCATCGAGCAGCTGAGTCAGTCGCTCGCGAAGGAAAGGCAATGCAACTTCCTCCGCACGCAAGGCGAGCACCAACCCTCGACAGATCTGCGCTGAGTCGTTGCCTCGTTCGGCTTCAAGTGGCAGATCCGCATGCCAAACGAGGGAGAGGGAGTCAAGAAGGATAGCCGCTGGCGCGTCACTCTCTGTTGAGGTGTATCGGCGCTTAAATGTCGTGATGACGGTATCTGGCAGGTGAGACAGCTGCTGCAGCCGACTCTTGATGCGCTTGAGACCAATGTTGACGGCAGTGGTCAGCAGCTTGTCTTGCATCAGTGTCCACTGCCTCCGGGCCATCTCCTCGCGATTCTCCGCAAGCACATCGGGCCGAGACGTGACCTCATATCGGTCACGCGCATATTGTGCAATCTGCTCCTCTTTGCTCGGCGTTGTGCCGTCAGTTCTGTCTCTGATCTCGTCACCAGCTGCAAATACGCCGCCAATAAGGGCAGGGAACGACAGCACTTTCAGATTCAGCGCTGAGCATGTCATGTGCAGCAGAGTCTCTTTGCCGCTAGCTGCTGGGCCTGCAAGCACGATCGTGCCGCCTGGTGACGGGAGGCTGGTGAGAAGCTGCTGGAGTGCCGGAAGGGAATGCTGGACAAAGGTCTGTGCGAAGGGTGACGCACGGCTTCCCCGATAAGCCAGATCGACATTGTCCTCACTCGTGGCGGCTGTTGCTGTGTCTCTTGCTCGGGGTTGCCCGCGGCACACGGTTTGTAGCTGCTTCACGATGCCCTGCGGGCCTGACGCAGGGACGATAGATGGCACCAGACACGAGTCGCCGAGTGCTTGCAGTGAAGGTAAGCCGATCACTTTATCGCCTTCCTCCATTCTGAGGTATCTGCAGACCTCGTGCTTGAGTCTCCGTACCTCGCCGAGGTCGTGCTCCTCTTCAGCGGTGAGCATCTCCAGGACTTTCTCTTTCATGTTGATGCCGAGCAGCTCGTCAGCCAAGCGGCCCAAGCAATTTTCCAAGCAGTGAGCGAGAAGGGGCACCGTGAGAGTCTCCTGCACGTCGCTGTCTACGTCCTCGGCGACACTGATCCGTCTGCCGAGCAGGGAGCGGATCGTGTGGTAGGAGTAGGCAAGCCAGTGGACCGTGACGGACGCAATTCGAGTCGAGGCAGGTATAATCGCATTGAAGGATGCACGCACGAGCGAGTGGATCAGCTGGAGCATCGCGTGGCCCCAGTTGCTGTTGGACAGATGAGCTGCCGACCGCACGAGGCTGGAGTAGACGTGAGAAATGTCTCCTATCGTCAGGGGTGGTTCGTGCAGCTGCAGCATCACCCCTTTGGAGAGCAGGCGATGATGAACGGCAGATCCCCCGGCAGACATCGCAGCGACAAATCTCACTCCGTCCACCTTCTTGTAGGCTGACGCGAAGATCTCACAAAGAGACGGCTCCATGCCGGCCGTGTCTCTGCATCCATTGCCGCTACCGCTGCTAGACGATGACGTGCTCCCCTCCTCACGGGGAGGCAAGTCAGTCATGAACGAGGCAGTGGACTCCCACACACTTGGACGCCGGCTCATGTAGCCACTCGTCTCGACAAACTGACGGATCCACTCGCTGCTTTCGCTACCAGGCTGGTCGATGGAGAGATCGTCAATCATCACCGCTAGCGTCTGTTTCAGCGGAGGCGACCACACCTCCTTCGCCGATATGTCTTCGCTCTTGAGCGTCAGGTGGCTTTCGATCTGTCTCTCCATGCGTGCAGCAGACAGGGGTCGTTTGTCAGACACGAGAGTTGGAATGACGGCTGGGTGGCTCTTTGGCATGCACACGGAGCCGACAATAGCCGGGTCGCCGCTCTTGCGCGCCTCACTTGGGTCCATCAGAGGAGGAATGATCCCTCGCGCTGTGTGCCGGCCACCATGCTGCCAGTCGTAGGCAAGATGCCTTAGCAGGGTCGATTTGCCGCTGAACGCTGGCCCAATTATCAGTGCTGGGTGCCTGTTGAGACAGGGAAGGCAAAGCTGAAGCAGAATGTGGACACGGATGATCGATGGGGTGGAGAGCAGGAGCCGATTCGTGAAAGCAAGATCCGCGTACTCCGAATCGTGCCCGTCCCATGGCCTCCATTGGCTGGCAGAGATGGTTTGCGTGTCGTCGTGGCTGTCAGCGGCCTTGTCTCTTACATGATACTCCCACACGAAAGTGTACCTCCCACCCTCGCTCTCCATCGGCGGATTCTCAATCTTCGTTGACAATGGGGGCAAGAACACACTTCTGAAAGCGTCAACTGTCAGAGAGTCGGTCTTCTCTGTTTTTGCTGTCTCGGCTTCGACATGGATGCTCCCGTTAAGTTTGGTGCTGTCGATCTCCTCGATAATCTCCCAGAAATGGTCCCAATTTGTCTTTGGCTGCGCTGATGAAAGAACTTGTGTGTACGGTAGGCCAGCTGACATTGCCATGTTCTTAGTGAAAGCCTGCTGGGGAGCTTCTTTCGCCATCCAGACGAGAAGCCGCATGTAGCTGTCAATGGCGCGTGCTGTGCTGAACGGGGGACCCGTAATTTCCATCGGCTGCAGCGAGGATGGTGAAGGCAGCTCAGGCTCTTCAGGTCCTTCTGATGGCTGCCGCTCTCCGTCTTCGGCTTCTTTGTGCTCGTTTTCCTCTCCATGGCCATGCACTTCTTGCTCTTCTGTCTCGTCCATTTCTCGAACGTCTTGCACTTCCTCTTGCGTCTTCTCCGTAGCTTGGCCCTTGTCTTGTTCTGTGTCAACCTCCCCTTCTCCCTCTGTGGGCCCCTCTGCTAGCACCTCTGCTGTCTCATCCGCTAACTCCACTGACGATGCTGCGGGGGACGGAGTGGCATATCGCAGCACTGTCTCCTCTCTGTGAACAGACCTCTCCGGACGGATCACGCTGAAGATGGCCTGGGAGGCCGCAAAGAGGAGTTGCTTCTCAATGGTATGGCGGACGGTCTCCAGCTCTCTCCTTATTCGGGCCTTGACCCGCAGGCGCTGCTCCTTTTCGGCCTCCTCGCTTGACGCCGCCCCCTCAGTCGCGGGCAGAGAGACGCTCAGCTCCTCCACTCTTGCAAGCGTCGCCAGCCATTGGGTGGAGAGGCCGGCAATGGCGCTCGAGTACAAGTTGCTGATGATCGACACTCCTTGTGCGCCGCCGGCCCATGTGTGGAAGCCCTTGCCGAGGATTCTCATGAGCGGTGGGTCTTGCTTGGTGAGGATGTGATCGATCAGCCGAATGCATGGCTGCAGGATGGTACTGGTGAAATGCAGGACCAGAGGGCGAAAGACGAAGGAGGGCTGCAGCTCACGGGAGACACACGAGACGATGCGGCCGGTGCAGTCTTCTGCGCTGGGGGTAAGTGAGAGAATTCCCAGCCGACCACACAGCTGGTGACATCAGAAAAAGGAGATAGACACTCATCCACAGCACTTCCACATGTGCTTACAAGAGCAGGTGACGCATTGGCGAGGTCAGTCGTTTCGAACAGCAGCCGAACCTTCTTGATCCAATCCCCTCTCGCATTGACGCTGCCGTCACTGGACAGCTTGATCATCTCATCAGCCGACGGCAGGATTCCGTCACTGATGCCCTGGCCACCTCCAATCGACGACGCCTTCAAAGACTGCCCTGTCTCCATCCTCGACGGGCCTTTGGCGAGCATGGAAGCTTGTGCACAGAATTGGCTGGCCCTGCGGCCCATTCTGCCACCTCCGTCCCATGCTGAGGTGCTCTGTCTTCTATGCTGGCGATCGGTCTTGTGCTTGTCTGTGTCTTCGGATGGCTCGTCAAGTTGCGACTGGATGCGGTCGAGCAGGCGGGAATAATGTGACGCCTCTGGCGCGTCACATGAAGGAAGAGCCCCATCAAGGGATAGCCAGCACTGGTGCTGCAGCCTGGCAGATGCGATGCGCTCGGCAAAGGGGGTCATAGCAATGAACTGCTGCCGAAATCTCCGTTTGGCCTCGGACGCTTGAGCCGCTTCCCTCCTCTGCAGCGCCGACATCATGCTAGTGCCGCTGCGGGTTATCATCCTTGCGGCCCTGTCGCCCTCTCCCCCAGTATGCTGCCGTTCTGGCGCTCTTTGCGGCACTGGCGGGCATTCGATCGACAGCAGGTCATCTTGCCACTGGTCGTAGCTGCGGAAGTTGTGAACCAGCGGCTCGACGAGCTCCAGATAGTCAGCAATGACCTGCTTCAGACCCTCATGCAGTCCTGTTGGCTGAGGCATTGGCGGCTTGGTCTTGTCGGCCGTCTGGTAGTGTGTGACGATCTTGCCCGCGACGAAATCTCTGTGGGACGTGGCCTGCAGGTAGCTGGTGATGAACCGGATCTGGTTGAGGATGGACGGGAGGATGGATGGTGCTGCAGCGTGGGTGCGCGCGCGCAACGATCCTGCACCGCTGCCCGCCTCAGTCAGCGTCACCAGGGTGCGTTCGTCACCAGAGAGCTCCTTGTGTGTGTAGAGGTTCGGGAATGATCGCCACAGCGACACCCCTCCTGTCCTGACTGCAGCTGGAGAGACATGGGGGCTCTTGTCGGCCTCTTGCGTGTCTTCGTGGGGCGGCGTGGGTGCGATGGAGAGCACTGACTGTCGTGCTGGGCGCATGGCCTTCTTCCGAAGCACACCTTCAGCGGCATACATGACGCTCTCGAGGAACAGCTGATGCAGCCTGTTAATCGCCATGGCCAGCACAGTCATCACAGTCGACTTGCCGACGGACGACGACCCGACGATAATGACACCGGCTTTTGTCTCCGTCCACTCGGCGAGCGACAGGCACCTCTGGACGAGCACAGGGGACACGACGAGGCCGAGACTGCTGATGACGTCGGGCAGGATGTCGGCCAGGGCTTGCATCTTAGCAGACACCAGGGACACGGGCTCTGGATCGACGGCTGTTGCTGGCGGTGTCTCGATCTCTGCGGGGAGGGAAGCGTGCAGAGCTCGTTTCTTCTCGAGAATCCCCACAGTCACGTCCGTTGTCTGCGCCAAGACCCCGTCCAGATACGCCTTCACTTCGTCGGCTTTATTCTCCATTGTCGCGTTAGTCACGAACATCAGGGCTGCTCTCAGTGCATCCATCTCCCTTAGATACTCCACACTCTCGGAGACCACAGCAGGTGTGGAGTTCAGATACATCATCTGCTTGTCTCGTGCTGCCTGATCAATGACGATGCGGGCCGCTTGCTGACGCAGCTGCCCCTCTCGGAAATAAAGGCCTCTGTCATCGAAAGTCTCGAAGAAGGCGATCACATCGCTTGGAAAGCGTTGACACGCCGTCGGTGTGAAGCCTTTCTGACTCATCATGAGCTCGAGGACGGCATACGGGGCGGGTGAAACAGTGGTGACGTTGCGGAATGCCTCGCTGAGTGTGGTTGGCACGTCGCGTCGGGCTGACGACACCGATGTGCAAGCAACAATGGTCCACGGGTTGAGGGGCACTCGTGACTCGCCAGTCACAAACGGGATGTCCACCTCCCTCTCCTCACGGATGCTGGCCACGCGCACCGCATCCAGTGCCTGAGTGACGGCGGTACATGTGGCCGGCTGCAGTAGATGGCTGTCTTGCAAGACGAACATGCCGCCCATCTGCACAGCAGCCGACAGCAGCCGACAAAAGTCTGCCGCAGGGGCCAGAGACGGAACTGAGAGAAGCAGGCGCCCGATCAGCTGCGAGATCTCTTTGAGTGCCTGGCAGTCTCCCTCCGACATGAAGTGCGGCAGGTGTCGAGAGTGAATGGAATAGAAGAATGCCCTGTGTGGTGCCGTGTGGGAAGTCGACGGGATGAAGTCACATGCTTCAGGGAGCAGCTCGAAGCCATACAGCATCTAAGACAATAACGTGTACACAGTAGCATGGGATGTATTTGATTGTTGCGCGTTATCTGCAACACACCTTAGTGGGATAGACGGCCACGACGATGGCCTCCAGTAGCGTGTCCTCCTCCCTCTCCGCTTCTGAAGCCTCCTCCGCTGCCTCCTGCATGTCCCACGACCGAGACATGGCCCGAGTGAAACACCTGCTGGTCAGTCGAGACAAGGCACGGACGGACACAGGAGCTGGTTTTTGATGATGGTCCTGCTGCTGCTGAGCTTCCTCTGTGTCATGGCTGGAGCTGTCGTCGTCAGGAGGGCCAGTGCTCACATGCTTTCCTTGGGATGGGGACGATGGAGCTTCAAGAATGCCCAGGGCGGCTTTTGGCTTCGCCTTTGGCTTGGGCTTCCTGTCCGCCTGTGGCTGCAGGAGGCCTGCAGTGCTAGGAGGCAGCCTATCGGGGACATTTTCCTCAGCCCTCTCGTCCAAACAGTAGACACGGAAGCATGACAGCCACTCAAAGGCGCCAAGCCCGCCCGTCTCCGCGAGAGGCAGCAGCTCACTGGTCGTGTCTTTGAGACCGGTGAAGAGACCGATCATATGCTCCATCTTGCGACACAAGAGCTCTTGGCCCCTCGTCAGTGGCGCGGCCACATGAACCTCCGCAGCCGCTTGTGCGCCCTCTTGCGGTGGCGCCTGTGTCGTCACGATCGACCTGGAGCGGCCGACGGTATCCGTGACCGCCTTTGCCTGTGGGGTCTTGTACATGATGCTCTTGCGGATAGTGGGACGTCTCGTGCGCTTCGCAGTCTTGGGCTTGCTGGGCCACCGAAGGGATCTGAGCTGATGAATGAGCTCTTGCAGGACGCTACTCATGTGGCTCTGCACAACGGACAGTCCCTCCTTCTCCATCAGTGTCTCGCGAGTCTTGATGTCCGTTGTCAGCCCGCTGACCACTAGAGCTCTCTCCACCTCCCCCGTCCAATGGGCCATCACTGCAATCAGAATGACCTGCCACGGATGGCTGCATATCGCCTTCAGCAGCGCGCTCCGCTGCATAGCTGCCGCAACGTCGCCCGCGCGCTCTTTGATTCTCTCCTGGAGTTCCATCAGCTTTGTGAGACACGTGACGACGGCCGTCTTGAGATTCTGCTTGATAGAGTCGTCGATTTTTCCCATCATGTCGGTCACGCTGGCAGGCTTGGGAGTGACTGACAAGAATGGCGATGCGGGGAGGGTGATCTTGCGCGTCAGGAAGAGGGTGTCCGAGCAAGTAGTGAATATCTGTGTCACACTGAGGCGCGTCTCGTCCATGGAGCTGTCGTCATCGCTGTCCTCTTCTAGCTTGACACCCCGAATGCCCGGGAAGCAGCAAGCGATGACTCGAAAGAAGACCGGCCACTGGCAAGCGGAGAATGAGGTAAACAGAGTATGTAGGGCCTCATCAGATGGTAGCAGCAGGCGGGGGTGGTCTCGGCGTTGCGATTCCAGGCGGTCGAGGAGTATTGTTCGGATGCTATTAATCTCTTGCAGCGCCACCCGAGCGTTGACCGTCCAGTTTTCGATCGCTGGGTGCTTGAAGGGGGAAGGATTGACTTGAGACATTGCCTGATGCTGCAGAGAACACACAAAGAAAAGTGGCTCTTTCCGTCTTCCTCCTGTGTCAACTCTCACCTGTCTGAACAGACCATCGACCTTCCTGAATCGGTCAATCACTGTCCTGCCGAGCAACCTCCCAACCAGACTCGTCTGAGCATCTCTTAGCTGTTGGATTGTCTCGGTACTCATCCCATCCGGACCAATCGCCAGCAAATATTGCAGATACAGCGGCATGGCCTGGACCCACATTCGCAAGAAGTCTGTCGATATCTCCAGTCGGTGTACGACATACGCCAGTCGGTCGGCGAAGAAGTGGGCATGGCCTGACTGTCGCAAGCCCTCACACACTCCAATCAGATGGTTATATTTGCCCAAGAGGGATACGCCGTTTGTGAGCAGCAGGACTGTCGGCAAGAGTCCAGACTCCTCCCCGCCTTCAAGCTCCATATCAGTCTCAGTAACTGATCGAGATGGGCCACGAGAGACACTCCTGCTGGTCAGGCGCTCGTCAGCCAGACCGTCCGCGGCCGAGACAATGGCGCACATGCTGATCTCCACTTTGCCGGCAGCGGCGTGCTGCTCGATCTGCATCAGGCATTTCTCTGCCCACAGCTCCTTGGCGCTTCTCTCGGTGAGCCTCTGTAGAAAGACGACCCTCGGAGGCACATGGAATCGATACACGAGCATCTGCGCCAGCGTCAAGTGGTCGGGATTGAGCTCCTCTTTGACCAGTCTCGATAAGACGGACCAGTGGCGCGCGAGGAATCCCTTGAAGCGCAGGCACGCGATGAGGGGCAGGAATGCCTCAAGCTCTTTGAGCTTGTCAAGCGTATTGCGCGCCGCGCGTGAAGGAATGGGAGCGCTGGTGAATGCCATCTTGAGGCAGCGCTCCGTGATTGTTCGCCACGAGGCGAGGGTATCCTGGCACTCCTCGAGAGTCAGGCTGGTCAGCGGCCCATGACACCACAGTGTCTCGGCGCTGTACGCCTGCTGAGCTGACGTCCAGAAGTCTAGGTACGGCTGGAGTGTCTTCCATGCTGTCTCCATCTCCAGTGGAGATTTTGTCTGCGGGACGCCCAATGCCAGCTGTCTTGTGACGAAGGTTTCATACATGTCTTGGCATTTGTCAAGGTCGTCCTTCACCCGATTCACGCCGTCTAGTGTCTTGTCGACCGTATCGGCGTCCAATGGCTTTGTGCCGCTTGGTCCGACTGATTTGAGCTCTCGGATGGCATCCAGTGACGCCGCAATCGCTCGGTTCAGGGAAGTGTGGTCATACTCGAGCTGGTACGTGAAGAGCTGCCGGCGAGAAATCAGGTCGACCTGTACGAAAGGGAAGGAGGGAAGGAATGCGAGGTAAAGAGGCAGCTATGCGCTGTCGATCACCTGCTTGCGTTGGGCGAGCATCCTCAGCTTGTTCGGCGAGCCCTTCAGCATCACGTGCTTGATGTGCACAGACATGTCTACCTTGATCATGCGGGTCTCTGAAACGACGAAAGAGGACCACGATATCCCGCATGAGTTGCCAGTGCACAAGGCTCACCGACCGAAAAAGTCGTAGATTGTCCTTGCGTGCTGCACCAGAGTGTCCAAGAAGAGCCCCTCTCCACCTGTCTCATAAAGCTCTCGAACCTTCTCGTATTGCCTCGCCAACGTCTCGATGCTCGTCACGTCGTCCTCCAGCCTGCAACAGAAGTAGACCATCATCTGCCCATCCTGCATCGCTGGCAACCTGTCTTATGGCTCACATGCTCACATGAGGGACAGCGCATCGAAGCGATCCAAGACATAATCCGATAAGGAAGAGAACTCCTCAACGATAAAGGAAGACAGACTCCTGAGCCGCTCGTCCGCGTGCGCAATGAGTCTGAGCCTGGCGTTCTGACAGTTGACGGCGAATAGGCTCAGGTGCACTGTTGATGCTGAGCAGCCTATGATGGCATCTTTTTGCTCCACAAGGCTGTCGTACTCGGCCATCAGAGTGCCTATCTCTTCGTTACTGAGGTAGATGCGCTGTGTCAGTTTTGTTTCGTCCACTCGAATGAACTTAGGGAGCTTAATCGCGTCGTAGCCCTCCTGTCGGGTGTGCACCTGCAAGCGCAAGAGACATATATGCTATTATGGATAAACATTCCCTGTCAGCATCATACCGGTATAATCTTGACCCGCAGCGAAACTTCTTGTTTCAGGGCGTCCAGCCACGCCTTCTCTTGCTGTTCAAGAGCCTCTTGTTCCAGCAGCTTCGCCTCCTCATCACCGCTGCTCTCCTCTTCCTCCTCTTCGCTCTCGCCGCTGACTTCACTGCCTTCTTCCTGTTCATCGACTGCATACTCATGTATTTCGACCTCCTGAAAGCCGACCCCTCTTCGTGCATGCTCGTCCTCTGCCGGTGGCTGGTCATCTGGCGCCGGCTCTTCTGGCGGCTCAGTTGTTGATTCTGGCTCTTGTTCGCGTGTCTCGTGGATAAGTGGGATGTCATGCGTCTCCCGATACCACCGGCTGATGTACTTTTCGATCACCTCGTGGAACAGCTCCCTCACTTTTTTCTCCGTGTGAGGTCGCCGCTCTGCCTCGAGCATCCGTATGGCCTCTGCTTCTTCGCTGGTCGTGTCCATTGCCGTTTGTGTCGTGTCTCGTCTGATAGAGAACTGCCTTTTCACGTGCGCTGTGTAGTCCTGGGACAGAGGGAGGCCCAGTTTCTGCTCGAGGATGGATGACAAAAGCTCCGGGTTTGTTCGAGAGTACATCGAGGGGTTGGACAGGATGAAGTTGGAGTCGTCGAGGTAGCTCTCGAGGGCGTCTTCATACAGAGTCTCCAGCGCCTCCATTCGCCGGATGTCGAGCAGCAGTTGTGACGCGAATGCCTCTGACGTGCCGATCAAGAGCGAAGAGAAGCGGCAGTAGTTGTTTCTGAGGGCTCTGACTGGCATGAGTCCATGCTCCAGCATCGACTTCACTCCTTTGAGGATCGCCTGCAATTCTGAATCGTACAGGTCGCTGGATGGGAAGTGCTGACAGTCCTCGGGCAGATCCGTTACATACCTGAATGACACATGGACAAGAAGCACGTTGAAAGGTCAGAATTACTGTCTGCGTGACTACCTGAGAATCGACTGGGTGAGGCTCCTCAGTTCATTGACGACATCAAGACAGTGCTGGAAGATGGTGTGCGTCAACGCTTCAACCACCTCCTTCTCTGTCGGCCGCATAACTAGTCTCTCCTCATCTCTGCCGCCCCTGCTGTCGTCGTCCTCGCTCCGCGCCGTCACCGCGACCGACTGCTTGTCGGCCTCGATGGCTGCGGAGCTGTGCGAGTGTGTCTCGCTCTGGCACATCACACTTGTGGCTGCACTTGATGGTGGCTGGAAGGTGATCTTTGGGATCGATGCCTGCTCAATGACCTCCCCAAACGCGTCGACGGTCACTGTGTCTGTCGCTAGCGAGACCAGGAAAAGGCTGGAAGCTCGCTTGCGATGTAAGGTGATCAGGGCCATCGGCGAGATTTCTTCACAGAGAGCCGTCTCCTCGCTGATCTGCTCTTGTTGCAGATCCTCATCCCAGCTGTGCCACTTCAAACGGTCGGCAAAGTCAGCGAAAGACAGCAGCAACAGTCGCTTAAATTGTGCGGCGCCCATCTTGTTGCCCAGCTGAAGACACGCAATCACTTCTGTGGGCACCTCGGAGACCTTGCCCCACCGGTCAACGTCCTCCGGATAGGCTTGTGCGACGATGTGCATCGTCTCTTCGATCACCCGCTTGCTCCACAACTCTTCTATTCGGTTGGCGACAGACACTCGATGCTTCACCTGGGCGGACTCAAACACCGACACCGACAGCGGCATAGAAAAGATGCTTTCAGTGTCGACCGAGCCGTGCTGTGCGTCCTTTATCGACTGGCGTGGCGGCGAGGGAGGCCGAGAAACGGCTGGTCCGATCGCCTCGGTCGGCAGGCGAATGAATGCGAAGGAGCGGTCTCTTCCGAGGTCGTCAAAGGTTGTGAGGATTTGCTGTGTGACGGCCAGCAGGGGCGCATGTGCAACCACAAGCCGGCGGCTCAGAATAGGCAAGGCGTGCCGAAATGCCCGTACATCAGGAAGAGACGGCCGTCGCTTTGGCTGAGCGATCGGTATTGGGGGGAGGAGACGCAGTCGGTGTCTATGCAACACCTCGTTCCAGCGTTGGTCGAGTCGGAAAGACAGCTGGCTGTACGCAAAGTACCACTCCACTTGCAGCAGCAAATCAACCAGGTTCCATCGGTAGCTCTCCATCTTCAGATGTGCGCACTCCTCGGCGAGCGCACTGCCCTCCTCTGCCACAGAGACCGTCTCCACGTCCATCCTTGTGAACTCCCCGGCCTTCTTCTCCCTCTTCTCCGCCAAATCACGCGGTGTCATGCCCTCGGGACACGAACCATCTCGCTCGTAGAAAAGAGGTCCACTCGGTCGTCTCCTCTCTGGGCTCAAAAACCGTCCGCCAGCATCTTTTCTTGGCCGGAAGCCGGCACTGTCGAAGCACAGGGATGGCGGTGGGAGTTTGGAAGACACGAGAGATCGAATAACAGAAGGGGATAGGCCGCAGAGCACCGCGATGTTGTGTAAGCGCGCGAGAGGCAGGCGATACGGCGGCATCACGTGAGTCCACTGATTCTCCGTGATGTACAGATGGCGTCGCAGCCTCTGCTCGGCTTCCTCACGGCGCGACGCAGCCGCGACCACGTGGGCAGCAAACTCTTGTGGGTCATCTCGCTGAAGCCTGAGCTCCATCCTCGTGACCGACCGCGGCTGCCTCTCGTATTTATCTCTCCATCTGGCGCCCTCCTCGCCTTGCAGCATCACATACTGGATGAAGGCACTTGTAAGCGGATGGGTGGGAGGCATCAAGACAACTGTTGCCGTGCCATGGTACGGCTGGACAGAGACTATGTGGCACGGCGTCCATAGCATTTGTGTGATGGGTTCGACGGGCCATGTCTCCGTTACCGATCGGGCTTCGAGCTTCAAGGGAAGCTGCGTCTCTCCTGCAAATGGGCACACAAGCCATCAACAGACATCTGGATATCCGAATGCTTGATCGATACCTACTTACCGAGTTCGCCAGTGTGCACGTCATCAAGAGTGGCAAAGGACACGCCCCCCTCGATTTGCGTATCGAAGTACTCTAATGGAAGCCGTGGTCGGCTCTGCAAATCTTCCAGCAGAGCGTTGAAGCGCAAGGACGAAGGCGGCTCGGCCATCGTCTCTGTCTCAATCTCTGACGCCTCCTCCAGCCGCCCTCTGGCTGTCCTCGCCCTTTCCCGCTCTCTGAGCACCGTCAGTCCCTTGACAGCAACAGGCGCCCTCTGTGCCAGAGTGATCGACACCGGCGGCGCACGCGAAGACATGGGGCGGGACGATGGCAGAGGCGAGACGGTGCGGGGGCGAGGGCTGGCCGGCTTACTTTTACTCCGTGCTTTTGGCCTCGCCTGTGGGGTCGTCGACGTCATCCGACGAGGGTACCAGACGAGGGGAGGCACCGGGGGGGGCCGCCGTTGATGGCTGCGAGGCCCAGCCGATGCCGACATCGGACGCTGTCTCGTGGCCGCTTTCGGGGGCGCCGATGACGCGCTCGCCGGCCTGCTCCGTGCGAAGGGGGTATGCAGCCCCTCACTGCTGCTGCCCCCATCCGTGAGCACACTCTCCCTCCCGCCCCTCTTAGGCAGGGGGGTTGGCGTAGTGGTCCTGTCGCTGGCACTGGCTGCTGGCAGCGGGGTGGTGTTGGTCGGCGTGTGCGTCGTCTGGGGAATGAAGGCGGTCGAGTCATCAAACGATGGCGCGGCTGACGGGGGGCGACGACGGGCCGCTGGGGGTTGTTCCTCCTCCCCTCCCTCTTCCCTTTTACTCGCCCTTCTCGCTTCTTTCTCCATTTCGTGTAGCTCGGTCATGCCGCTGCCCATCCGCCGTATCTTGATATGATCGAAGGGCAACTTGGCCTGACCAATCTCAACTTTCTCTTCACGCAGATTTCTTGCCCACGGCATCGGGGGAGGGAACCGTGGATAAGGCGGCGCCTTCGGGGCGGTCTTGGGCCGCTCCCTCGGTGTCTTCATGACCAGCTGAGGGGGAATGATCACTGCAAACACATAAGACCGATTGAGATGCGCGATTGTGAAGGTTTTCGCTCACCTTTCCGTGGCATCAGCTGAAACCTCCGCCTCAGTTTGGCTTCGTGAGCCACTTCCCACGGCCGGATGTAACTCGAGGTTTGCAGCACCAGCTCCGGCACATCAACGGCGCTCTCCTCCTCCTCTTCATCGGACTCTCGTTTCTCCCTCTCTCTCACCACCTGCAGCTGATCCCTGAGCGTCCTCTCGGCTTTGCAGAGTTCGTTGCAGGCGCGCTGCAGGCGGACGAGGCGGCTTTTCGCTGGACCGTATCCTCGGAATCGCTCGAGGGTCTTGTCGGCCGGGGGAAGGGAAAGAGCACGGCGATCACTCATCGTCGAGATCTGAGGTTGCTTGTGACAGCTTCTCCTGGGGGCGTCCATGGGGGCGTCTCATGCATGCAACTTTCTCAACCCAAGGGCACTTGAGGCGGCAACAAAGTGGGCAGCAGCAAAGACGAGAACAACGATGGAACCACTTCAGTCTGCGGAACGGGAACAACAGACAGTTGCAATATGGTGAATGAATCAGATCTGTACGCGCATCCATGAGTCAACGGTCAACCACAAAACAACGCATCCACTGGCATCCCTCTACGCATCCACAAGCATGGTCAATCACACATCGGCCCACCCCGCCGTCTCTCGTCTGTTGGCACGGATCGCCTCATTGAGTGTCGGGATGAGCCATGCGTCGCTGCCCATTCTCTGCCACGCTGCCCCCGCTGCCCGCGGACTGCCGGTGACACCCTTCCCATCCCCCTGAGGCTCCTCGGTGCTCCAGAGGTGGATGTGTGCTCCAGGCCATATCCCGGTGCTCATGTAGATATGCGCCGCAAACGCGTCGCTGGCATTCTCGCCAGAGATGATGACACATCGAGATGTGGTCCCACGGTTGAACATGGTGCAGCCCCACGGTGGGGTCCATTGGGTGACGAGCTGACGGATTCGGGAGGCCGCAGCAGAACATGACGGATACTCGACACGTGCCACACAATGCGACCCCTGGCCGATCATCCTGAAAGTGGTAAGGACAAACACGATTGAAGGTGAGCCCTGGCTGCTGCTGTGGTGTGGTCTTCGCATACTCAGCAGCCACCACGCTGCGAAATGTCCCCGACAGATGCTGATCGTTATCTGGGTCATGATGCTGACCTACACACAAGTAGTGCACAACGTGTAAAGGCCTGTGCTGGTTTTCCGTCTTAGCTCACATGTGCGGCTGCAGCCAGGGTCGGCTGCAGAGGCGCTGTCCCCGACTCCGTAGTATAGCACTAGCTTGTGGTTGCCGAGCCAGTAGTTGGGCCACGACGTGAGCTCCATGGCCCTGCCGAGTCGACGGCTGAACAACGAATACTGCCTCATGCTCGCCGCCTGGCTCTCGAGGTCCAGGGAAAGCACATCCCTCCAATCGAGCTGGATGGGCAGTGACTCGAGCCGGCCGCAGCGCATCGCCAGGCAGATCAGCCGCACGCTGCCCGCCCAGTCGCCGCCATTCGCCAACGCCTCACGCAGACGGATCAGCTGACGGGGACTGCTCGATCTGAGCGGCTCATATGCGATCACGCCCGTGAGGCCCTTCTGGTGGATGAGGTCGTCGATGGCTGACGTCAGTGCGGCCTTGTCCACGACCACGTCCAACTGCAGACAGAAACCATGAAAAGGATATCGCTCACCCACATACAGCTGTGGTGTCGCCCTGCATTCGGTACGCTTTTGGCTGACCTGATAGACCTCTAGTCTTCGTGCAATGAAGCCCTGTTGCTCGTGAGTTCGTGGCAGTGGCCCGGGAAGCATCTGGCTGATACCGTGAATATCTGCCCACCCCCAGCACCAGATGACCTCCAGAAGCGTCCACCTTCGCTCGGGCCCCACCTACGCTCGCACCAGTCATCTCGATGAAGGTTCCAGGTGCCGATTGAGATGTGTGGGGGCCCGCCAAGGTCCTGAGCTGGCCGTCGGTGTGGAAGGCTGTGACGTGGCCACTGTCTTCCAAGCTGTCTTCCTCCATGACGAAGACGAGACCACAAGCCTTGCCCACCTGCTGCGGCAGCCTATCACAAGACCAGCCGTGTGCATCGCTTCTGAAAGAATACAGACAGACACAAAGACGCGCATTAGAGAGAGACGGATGGATTGATGGATGGCCCGCTGCTTGGGTGCCTCATCTGCCTGTCTATCTATCTTGCCTCATTCACTCACTCACGTGAAGAGGCGGCGCAGGTGGTAGTTGTGTTGGTAGGTGATGGTGCGGGCGAGGGCGTCCATGTCGTCACGGGAGAGTATCTGTGGGTACGCCGTCGAGCAGGCCATACACACCGCACTCGTACAGCAGGTCGTCCATCTTGTCACTTGTGGTCGTCGGCGGGGCCACTCGGGTGCCGGCAGGGAGGACGCGAAGGCGACGGGCACAGTCCACGATCCTGCAACACACGAACACGCACACAATACACAGACAAAAGACAAAGGTGTCCGGATGGTGTGTGTATTGTGTTACTCGGTGAAGTGGTCCGCTGACTCAGCCGCTACTGGTCCACGATACCTGAGGAGAACGATCAAGGCAGACTCGATCTCCCAGAGTGTGTGGGTCCGCGTGCCCCTCCTTACGTATCGAATCGGTTGCACAGCGCGGTGGTCGTGTTCTGCAGAGTCGACTGGGTGGTGCTGATAACCCTGGTGGGCTGCCCATTGGCCCCCGCCACTCGTACGGAGCTAATCGACTCGGTACCGTCACTGGGCCGCAGGAAGGGAGCGATCACCTGACACACACATACACGCACACATACACGCACACATACACGCACTCTCACCCACACATACATGCATTGACCTTCCCCTCCCCTCTGCCACTCTCACTTTGATGCCGCGGAGTGTGCGATAGTAGAGGGCCTTCTTGGCCGCCCTCTCACGCGACAGCTGAGCTTCCTTGGCGGCGAACTCCTCCACGAACGTCTGCATGGCACCCAGGAGGCCGCTGAGGTGCGGCGGAAGCCACTGGGCCTGCACGGACGGCCGACGGGTGACGAGCTGGTTGTGTGCCGCCTCGACATCTGGTGTAGGTGTAGGGGGCGATAGCAAGAACTGAATCCAATCACAGGTGCCACCTGCTCACACACGCACACACACACATGGAACAAGCACGATGATGCAGACCAATGCATGTGGTCGCGTCCCACCCCAGCCCATCCCTGACCCCACTCACCGTTGTAGAGTCCGCTCGCTGCCTCCCGTTTTAGCAGCGCCACACCCGCCGCCCCGTCACGCACCTCGCTGAGAATGGTCTCGAAGGCTCCCGGGTCCACATCCAAGAACACCCGGTTGTCGTCGTCCCTCGCGAAGCGGCCGTCCCACCTGCCCGAGAACAACGAGGCCATGACCGTGCCAGGCGCCAGTGTGAGGTGCCTTCTGGCGGCAGTGAGCGGCCGGCCGCCCACGTTGAGCTCCAGCAGGTCGTCGCCGGAGGCTGCCGACTCGTCAGACGCACCATGAGATCTCAGCAGCTCGTCCAGGTCGTAGGAAGCGGCGATTTCTTTCTCATCAGCTGCGAGGGCCTCGAAGGCTGCCTCGATTTGCGTCTGAAAGCGGGCAGCGGCTTGCGGGGCGGTGAACAGATCCATAACTGCACTCACTGCATGTCGGCCCAAGCAACCTGCAGCCACGGAAATGAGAAGAGTCAGTCAATGCATTCACACATTCGTCAGCCAGGCATCACGCACCTGTTCGACGCGCGGTGTCAGTCAGAAACTGCCAGTCTGCTGCCGCCCTCAGCTAAAGAAGGAGTCGGTCGGCTGAGCCGGGCGGGTGCTTCGCCCAAATGGATGAGGGCTGCTGCGGGGGGGTGCTTGGCTGCTGCTGAAAGTAGATGCGTGGATTGCTTCTCTCTTTTATGCGAGCTCGCATGTGCCGAGGTTGAAGAACGGGAACGGGCTTTTGCAGGTCTTGCCGCCCGGGACACCCACTGCTGCCGGCTGCCGTGTGCCTGACAGACTCTGCTTTTCAGGCGCAGATCTGAAGATGCACAGCAGCGCCCTGTGGCTGCTGCCGGTGCTGCTGGGGCTGCTCGGCGCCTCTCTCACACGTGGTCAGTTCAACACAAGCATAACACACACAAGAAGCACACATATGGCTGTATTTGTATCTGTGTGCTTGATGTGTGTGATCAGGTGAGGTCCACGTGTTGACGTCAGAGAACTTCACTTCCTTCGTCGAGGGCAATGACAGAGTGCTGGCGGAGTTCTATGCGCCATGGTGCGTGTGCGTGAGTGCGTCCACACCCATACGTGTCGGAGGCCACACCTGTTGTGTGTGTGTGTGTGTGTGTGTTGCGGATCTGGTGCAGGTGTGGTCACTGCAAGGCGCTTGAGCCCGAGTACACCAAAGCGGCCGACATGCTCACAGACAAGGGAGCCGTCACCAAACTCGCCAAGGTCAGCCACCACACGGCGTCCAGCGCATACGCACTATGAACTGCTGGATACTCACATGGCGCAGATCGACGCCACCGAGCAGAGGGATTTGGCTGAGACCTATGGCGTGAAGGGGTACCCGACGCTGCGGTACTTCGACAGCCGCGATGCTGACATGCACATCGATTACTCGGGGCCGCGGGATGCTCAGGGTACGTGCCAATCAGCGGCTGCCTGCATGGACATTCTCATGCAATGTGTGTATGCGTGTGGCCCTTCAGGCATTGTGAGCTGGCTGACGAAGCGGGAGGTGCCATCGCTTACCGTCCTCGACACCGAAGAGGTACACATGACGCAACCCATGAGCCCTCGAGCACCTGAACAGATACGCTTGGGGCATTTGTATGTGCAAACACGCACAGGCCGCCTTGGCGTGGGCTAAGAAGCGCGACTACGCCATCGTGGCTTACGGCCTTAGGAAGGGCGGCAAGAAATCAAAGATGGTGCAGCAGATAGCTGAGGACCTTCTGGACAACGACGAAGACTTTGCCATCGTGTATGGGGCCACCAAGGTGCGTGGGTCGATGAACACGTCAACACATGCACCACACAGCTCTCCACGTGTGTGTGTGTGCATGTGTGTGTATGCAGGATGCCCCCCATAGGCTGATGTTCTACCGCAGTCGGTCTAAGTTCCCCTCTCAACACGACGCAACGGGTGAGTGTGCGTGCGTGTCTGTCGTGCACACGAGCGCAATCACGCGTATGGGTGCATTGCATTTGTGGGCAGAGATCACCTACAAGGGCAGCTGGTCTCGCGAGTCGATAGAGGACTGGATCGCCGAACACAAATACCCTTTCATCAGAGACGAAGTCAACACTGGTACGCATAAACACGTGTGCCTGTTGTGTGTGGGTGGGCATCCGGCTGTCCGTGTGTGTGCAGAGATGTATCTCCAGCAGAACCAGAGGAGGTCAGCTGTCATCGTCTCACAAGGTCAGCATTCCACCGACGCACTGACCTGACCGAGTGTATGTGTAGAACCGTGTGTGTGATGTGTGCCCGCGTGTGTGCGGCAGTTGACACCGACCGCGCGGACTCCTACCACATGCTGGAGCCGATCATCAAGAAATACAGGGGGAAGGTGAGCGATGATCTGCAGATCAGATATGCCCATTCACCGCGTGTGTATGGGATGAATACTCACCTGTCGGGGTCGGCTGTGTATGTGTGTGTCTGGTCAGCTCTACTTCACCTACATGGACCCATCCCAGTGAGCGGATCAGATGCACACACGCCGATATGTCGTCTGAACACCTTGATGCACACTGATGCCATCAGTGTCCAGGGTCCCCATTTGGGTCTGAAGGGGGCGCCGAAAGAAGAGATACTCATCCTGGACAGATCCAAAGTCAAGGTACGCACACTCACAGACGGGGACTCAAGGTGTACCTGTGTGGGTGCGGGTGACTGTCTGTGTGTGTGTGTGTATGTGTGTGTGTGCACAGGACATTGAGAAAGACGCTGCGGTTAAGTACCGGCTGGAGGGGCCATTTACCGAGAAAAAGATCGAGTACAGACCACACACACACACCTGCACACATCTACGTGTTCATTCTGGCAGGGGCTTCTTCGGCAAGTGGGAGAAGGGCAAGCTGAAGGCCTTCAAGCGGAGCGCACCCATCCCTGAAAGCGAATACGACGGAAACGTGCGGGTGCGTGCGTCAACACTGACACACACACGTGCACATGCACTTACACGTGTGTGGGTGGGTATGGTGCAGGTGTTGGTGGGCGACACGTGGGAGTCGGTCGTCATGGATAAAGACAAAGATGTCTTCGTCGAGTACTACGCCCCATGGTGAGGAGTGTGACAGCCCGGCCAGCCACACATGGATGACTGTGCTCAGGTGTGGCCACTGCAAGGCGTTGGCGCCCACATGGGAGAAACTCGCCGAACAAATACACAAGAAATACAAGGTCTGGACCTGCACACGCACAACACCAGACACATCGGTGCGTATGTGTGTTGAGGAGCCTGTGCCGTGTGTGCAGACGGTTGTGATAGCGAAGCTTGACGCGACGGCCAACGACACTGGCGACGACGTCAAGGGCTTCCCCACACTCTACTTCTACCCCGCTGGTATGTGTGCCTGCGTACACACACACACACACACACGTGTCTGCACACGTGTTTGTTGTGTGTATGTGTGTGTGGCTGTGCGCAGGCAAGAACAAGATGCGACGGAGGATCGCATACAATGGTGCGTGGCGTGCGTCACACAGCTACAAACCACACACGCACACCCGCAGACAGACGGACAGACAGAAAGGCACTGTGCGGACATTTCTATGTGTGCAGGTGGGCGTGAATTGGAGGCTTTGTTAGATTTCGTGGAGGACAACGCCGAGAGCATCGAAGAAGACAGAGAAGAGAAAGACGAGCTCTGACGACCGACGCGACGCGCCACCCAACCACACACCCACTGTCGATACCCACACACATCACATCCACCTTTTCACCCTGGTTAAGGTCGGTTGACGGACGAAAGGTAGGTCTGTTCATAGAGGTGACTGACTGCGTGTGCGTGTGCGTGTGCGTGTGCGTGTGTAATTCGTTGGGTGGAGTTGGATAACCTGTCTCCCTCTCTCACCTGACCTGATGTAATTAGCTGTCTGTCTTTGTGTCTGTGCGTGTGTGTGTGAGTGCCAGTAGAGGGGCGGGCTCGTGTGTGTGGGGACTCTCGTGTGCGTGCTGTTGGTTATTTATCTGCGTGTGCTGCGAGTGCATGTGTGTATGTATGTGCAGAGCGACACTGCTGCTGCCGCATAGTCGTCATGTCATCCATGCGTTCGTTATACGCTAAATGATGTCCGTGGGTGGGTGGGTGTTGTCACGGTTCGGTTGCTGGCAAACGAAAATGTCAACCATCTCACCACACCACACCACAGAGATCGCCACACCTCAGCTACTCATGAGCACCAGAAAAGACGAAAGAAACCCATAGGGCTCCCCCCTGCCCCACTCAACTCATGCAAGGCTATAGACTTCCATTTCATCGAGCTCAAAGTGGAAACCCAATACAGACACGGGACGAAACAAACCCAGCAGACACTCGACAGTATGTCCTTGCCAACTGGCCGGGCTGGCCCGACACTCGACAGTTGGTCGCTGCCAACTGGCCCAGTGGTCAGGCTCACTGCCTTCAACTGCGAAGCCCTGGCACTTGTTGAGCAGTGTGTCCATGGCTGCCTTGGGGACGCCACCCTGGGGGATGCCGATGTCCATCCCCGGCGGAGCCAGCAGGCAGGACAGATTTGTCGGCGCATTGGTCATGTCCAAGGTCTCTGTCTTCTCCTCAATCCCAGCCAGATGAATCGTCTTGAAGCGGGCATAAGGACCGACGTAGGGGCAGTTCGCCGTGCCCTCGAGCTTGTAGCTGAAGACAAGCGTAGGTGGCATGGTTTTCTGCGGTCCTGACACGTCGATCCTGCCATCAACGACCACAGCAAACAGCTCGCCACTGAAGGGCACAACACACTTCAGTACTCTGCCTGTGTTGTGCGTGCCCATTCCGCCGTCTGTCTGTCTGTCTGTTTGTCTGTCTACCTGTCTTTGACCCGCATGATTATGATCAACGGTTTTTGGCCCCTGACGGCATCGACAAAGTCCAGCCAACGCCACCCATCAACCGACGCCCTGCAAACAAACGGTCAGTGCAATACAGTCGTCCAAACTCCTGCTCTCTTGGCTGGCAACTTCAGTCACTTGTAGATGCGCTCGATCGGCTCGCCCACATGAGACGGCAACACGGGCAGGGCGAAAGGCGCCCCGGGATGTCCCCATTTCTGTTTCTGTCTCCATTCCTTGATGTTGTGCAGGTGCTGGCTCTTGAGCAGGCCGTCAGTCGGGCCGAGGTACCGATCGGCGCCGATGCCGAAGACGTCGAGCGCCCGACGGAATTGAGAAGCACTGACATCGCCCATTGCCTCCCGCACGTCAGCTGATGTGATGGTCCGGCGCTCCTGGTGGGCTCGCACAGCGACGTCGACGACACGGCGGACGCAGTCGAGGCCAAAGTCAATGGAGCCGTTGTAACTGAACCACAGCAACAGCAGACCACCATATGAGTGCCGGCGGATGGCGTCCACCAGTGCCGTTGTGCTCTCGCCGAGTGAATCGTCCGTAGAATGTGCTGTCCTCTCCGCCTAACGACTTGGCCGCCGCGTGGGTGACCGTCACAGTGCAGCCAGTCGACTCATCGATGGAAACCAGCTGAACAGACATCCGTCCGAGACGATAGAGATGGAAGCCTTTCCATCGCTCTCTTTGTATGTGCACCTGATCGTCATCTGTGTTGCCTCTCTTGAGGAATGGTTTGACAGCGTCCAGGCGGGCCAGCTCATGTGCCTTGGCCTCCTCAATGTGCCGAACGGTGACGGCCAAATCTGACACCAGACGCGAAGCCACACTGCCGTCAGCTGCTGCAGTGGCGGTGCTGCTGGTGCTGATATCTTGGTCGGCCGATGGGTCGTAGAGGAGAGTGTGCACCCAATACCTGACCACACACACACACGCGTGCGCCGAATCGAGCACAATCCGACCGCAGGGGGGCTCGTGTGATGGATCACTCCCTCACTTGTATGGGAGATCTGTCTGTTTCGCCGCCGGCAAATCGATGACGTCGACGTCGCCCAGCTCGTAGTGACGCAGCTGCTCAACCAACCTGACACAAACAACACAACGTAACACAAACAACACTGCAAACGTGACCACACTCCCTACGTCTGTCCTTCGTGTGAAGAGCTGACCATCTGAAGGCCGGTGGGTACGCTGGAAGGAAAATGCGATCGGTCGAGTCGCGGACGACCGCACCGTCGAAGCAGCCGCCAAACAGCGAGGCCAGGACAGATCCCTTCTTGACACACAGAGTGGACCGCCTTACGCCGCGAAAGACCTCGCCGCTGACATTGAGGTATAGCTTGTCCGTGGCCATCTGGTCGGCCGACAACTCTGTGAAGTCCGCCATGCCGCCCACTCTGTGATGCGCTGGCGGACCTCGGCCTCGGCTCTGCAGATCTCCTCATTGATCAATGCCTTCTGCTGCCGCCCTGCAGCGGCGTGGCGCCTCAGATCCGCCATCTGAGCTAGTCTCTACATCCTTTTGATTCCCTCCTTCGCCTTCGTTGCGAGCTTCAGCTCGCAGAGGCATATATGAGATTCATTCGCGTCTCCTATGAACGCATGAAAATGCATCCATGGAAACGATTAGAAGCGAATTGTGATGCCGAAAGATGCATGAAGAGCTCCGTTAGGCCCCGAGGAATCGGTCTCACCCATAGCTTTGCACAACGATGGATGGCAACGCCACTCAGGTGAGAGAACGAGCAGCCTGCAGGCCAAGCAAATCGCGTGAATCACGGCGTGAATCATCGTGTGTGCTGTCTGTCTGCGTGTGATTGTGTTGTCCTTCGCTTTGGTGCAGATGAGTGAAATGGCAACGAGGGATCAGCTGCTCAAACAGATTCAGACCTATCAGACCAATCAGACGAGGGTATCTGACCGACACACTCACTCAGTCACTCATTCAGTGCATCCACCGCTCATCGGTTGACTGCTCGTGTTGTTTGTGTGTGGTGTGGTGTGCAGGTCAACAATGGCATCGGCCGACTCACTCAGATGGACGCCGCTGCGATCACACCACTGGTGCGGCAGGCTGGCAACCAGCACACTGACAACCGCTCACAACAACACAAAGGCCTCCCTCTGTGTCATGGTGCTCTCGTCGTGTTGATTCATTCGTCAGATGGTGGCCAAGGTGAGTCGTCAATTTGCTGCTGTGTCCGAGCTGCTGGCCGAGTTGGCAGAGACCATCAACTCGACCATCGCACTCACAAGACATAGCCGCACACAGGTCAGAGAGGGAGTGACCACAGGCAGGCACAAACACAAGGCCCTCACTGATGTGGTATGCTCCTCTTATGTGCTGTGTGTGTGCATGTCCTTCTGTCTGTGTGTCATCAGGCCCAGCGGTTGTACATCTCTGACATTCCCGCCAACCCCATGAGCATCATCCTGTCACTGTCTGCCCTCACCACCATCGCCCACCTCAAGGCGACAGCCCGACCCATCAGAAATGCCCTGCGGCCCATCGTCCGCAATATTCGGCTGCCGGAGGCCATCGAGGTGGCGGGGGTGGGCGGTGTGGTGCAGTTCGACGATCAGCTGAGCCACGGCGATGTGATGAAGGCCATGTGGGTGGTGGAGGAGGGGGGCGAGGGCGGCTGGGGGGAGGTGGCCGACACACTCAGATTCGGTGAGCATTTGGGCTATTGCCAGCTGCCGGTTACTGTGGGTGCCGGAGATCTGCAGACACACCCCACCAAGGCGGTAAGCACCACACACAGAAGAGGCAATGGGTGAGCTGCTGGAAGTCTCTGTGTGTGTTGGGTGTGAGACTACTCATCGCTGCCCCGTTTCTGTGCGCTGTGGATGGTCGTCGGCCGCCGTGTGGCCCTCCGTCGCCCAAATGGCCAGCAAGACGGCACACTGCAGCTGTTCCGCCATAACCATGAGATTCGCGCCATCCGCAACGAGCCCAACTTCGCCATCGTCATCAACCCGCCCCTCCCCCTCCCCAACCGCCGCGTCCATTCCTTCTCGCGCCACCCCTTCCAGCAGCACGCCAAGCCCCACGACCCGCCCGTCAGCAGCCGCATTCTGTGGGATGGTGGTGTGGGCTGGACGCCTGGTGGTGTGAACGACGGGGGCGTTTTCTCATCGGCGAGTTGCCTGCTGAAGAAGCTGATGCTGACTCACCGGATGCTGGCTGTGAGCGACATCTCCTATTCGCCACCAGTGGCGGTAGACCGGTAAGTGGATGAAGAGGGCAGGTCGCTCGTTGTCCCTTTCATACATGTATCTGTGTGTCAGGAGTGTTCGTGGTCATCTGAATCGTATGCTGACCCGACCGCCTCACACGCCCCTTGACGACTGCTCACACATGATGGCATCCGAGGCGGTCAGTGGGGGGTGTGGGCAGTCGCATGTGCTGACGTCATCGGACGACTCGTTCGTCGCCTGGATTGCCTTCCGCACCCTTCAAGGCGACAACCAGAACGGTATGCTTACACGTAAGAGAACAGCAACTCGACAACACCTGTTGTGCCGTCCGTTGTCTGCGTGCAGTAGAGGTCAGCATCCGTACCACCGAGGCGCCAGCAGCAGGTGTGGCCAATGATGCGCCCTTTGCCCAGCAATTCCCACGGACGGCCGCCAAGGCCCGCCGCGTCCTCGGGCCGATCGCCGCCATCGTCCTCGACGGCCAGGCACCGTAGACAGAAGGTGAGGGCCACACACGACAGTCGGCTGACGTCTGTCTGTGGTCTACCTGTGTGTTGTTTGCGTTGGTCTGAGTTCTGCAGGCGAACTGAATCGCCCCATCAGATCGATATAGAGGTTTGGTTGGTTGGCTGGCTGTCGGTTCAGTCGTGCGCATCTCTGTTGGCTGTGTCGGATGGAAGAGGGCCAATGAGAATGGGATGATTCGTGAGTGCGTCCGTGTCTTGACAGCATGCATGAGCGTGCACGTGATTCAAGACAGAGGCACTTGATTAATTCGGACACGAAATAATCGATCCCCTACAGAATCATCTCCTGGCTGACGCGAATACAAAACGCAGCGCACTAGACACCCTGTCCACCATCCCATTCATAACAACCCCCGATTTTCTAACGACAGTGACAAGCCGAAAGGCCTCATCTCTCCACACAATCGAGACATGAAACCGATCCGCCTCTTCTCTTATAGCCTGTCGCACCTGCTGCTGCAGATCGGCGTAGCTGACTTGAGAAATACCATAGCCCCGGCGAGAAAGATAGCCGTTGAGCAGACGACTGACGCGGTTTCTGAGCGGCTGCTCGCCAATGGGGAGGGAGACGTCGGCGAGGAACAGCGCGACTTGCTGCGTGACCTCATTCGGAAGGTCCCTGCCGACCAGTGCATAGCAGTGCGCAGGAAGAGAGATGTCTAGCAAGGCGGCAAATGTCTTGACGGCAATGCTGAGTTGCACAGGCAGGTCGTCACGCAGATACTCAGCGTATGCGCCGAGCAGCCGCCGGTTAGTTTCTCCCCGCTGGCAATTGTCGGGTCTCACTGCCGCCGCCGAGAGCGATGCCCCGCTGCGGAAGAGCAGCCGAAGCACAGCCGGGGAGCACCCATTGCAAGCGGCAAGATATACAGGGGCTCTCGCACAGGGAAGCCGCCGGTTGACAATGCGCTGTCCGGCCTTGTGGATGAGAAACGCGACAAGCTCCAGCTGGTCGGAGGGATCGTCGAGCGGCCAAATGCAGAACCAGGTCAGGGCAGATTCAAGTGGCTGCACGACATGACCCTCCCGGCTCCGGAAAAAAGTCTCCGTGATAAGCCCCACTCCGCCGATCTTCACCAGTTTCTTCACCATCGCCAGCTTCTCAGCAGACGACACTCGTCCGTGACGGGCATGACACGCCACGGTCTCCAGCAGAGACTGTCCTGTGAGCTCCACCCTAAGATGCCCCTTGGCGACCTGTCCCAGCAGCAGGTTTGCCACGTCATAACGGCCAAGCTCAATCACCGCGTGGATAGGATTTGCTACTCCGACCCGCTGATAGTCCAGATGGGCGCCCCTCTCGAGAAGCATGCTGATGATGGCCACCGTGTCATCCGTCCAATGCCGCCAGATGGCCAAGAGAACGAGGGTGTAGGATGACGCGACCGCTCCCTGGCCGAGCAGCTCCGCGGCTCGCTCCTTGGTCAAAGTGCCGTCAGCAAGACCGCCGGCGAGCTCACGAGTGGCGGCATTGGCGTGAGGAGGGAGGCAGAGGGAGGGGCTGACGTATGGGAAAGTGGCGGGACGTTGGATGGCACCGTCAGGGGTAGAGGGACGAGAGCGAGAGCACAGGCCTGGTGGATAACATGACACGCACCGACACGCGGAGACAGCAAACATCATTGTATTGCCGGATCCCGGTGCCAACATTAGGCTGTGCGGTTCACCTCCCATGGTGACGTGATCTCTCCGCCTCAGCACAAAAGAAAACAGCGCCTGTGTCACACGGAAGGCAGCAGATGAGTGTCCACCACTCTTAATATGCGGCTGTGTGTGTGCTGGCAGTCACACACGTGGCCATGCTCACTTTGAGTAGGGGAGGTGGTTGAGTCGGCGAAATAGCGCCCCGAGCATAACATTGCATCCGCTGTCATCGATGACGCCTGCAGACACACACACATCACACTGATCCATTTTGTCCATTCCAGTGCGTCGATCTTTACCTGTGTGCTGCCACGCATCATGGCGATGAATCATCAACGAGCTGGACGCCCTCTCCATCCCAGATCCGCCTCTCCAAGCTGCAGCGGTTTGCGCGGGGAAGCTTTGGAGCTCGCATCTGCAGTCTAAGCTCGCACTACAGAGAACCCGATCACTTTGCTCTGCCTTTTGACCTGCAATGCATCAACATACACCTGTTTCCTTTGTCCCAACGTGGATCTTCGCCTTTCTGTTGGCATTGGCATGGTCAGCCGACGGCATCAGCCGCACTGCCAGGCAGCAGCCAATGACGGCATCGCTGCCCGGGCATGACCACCGGCCATGCAGCAGCAGAGTGGAAGTGAGAACCGTCACCGGTGAGTGAGATCAGCGAGGCATCTCAGTAGCGGGACAGGACAGAGCGCGTCTGTGTTGCTTGTGTTGTCATGACAGGTGGTCGGTCATTATGTGTTGAAGGCCTCGCACCCGATGCAACCGTGACAGATTTGAAGGTGCGGGGATCCACTGGGCTGGGTGTGTGCCCTCTCACTTCGTTCCACACATACCGTACATGTTTGTGGTTCGTCCCATGCAGGCTCGCGTGGAGGTGCTCACGGGGGTGCCTGTGGGGGATGTACTGACGGTGGACCAGCAGAGGGGGCGGGCAGTGGTCGACAGCGAAGCTCTGGTAAGTGTACCTCCTGATAACGAACCTGCCTTGCATCTTTCTGTACTGACTGCCCTGCGCGTGTGTGCAGGTGGATGGGTCAGGTGTGTACTACGTGTCGCCACGCATCAGGGGCGGCCTCTCGCTGCAAGTCAAAACACTCTCTGGTACGCGATTGTCAATGCCTGAATGTGTGTGTGGATGCATTGCTCTCTGTGTGTGTCTGTGTGTGTGTCCGCCCACCTGTGTGCAGGGAAAACCATCACTGTTGACGAGATCGACCCCGACATGACGATAGCCTCCGTCAAGGCCAAGATACAGCAGAAAGAGGGCATCCCGCCAGACCAACAGCGACTCATCTTCGGAGGTAACTGACTCTGTCGTGTGCTCATGTCGTGTGTGTGTGCATGTGTGTGTGTGTGTTTTTGCAGGCAAGCAGCTTGAGGACCAGAAGACTGTTTCAGACTACGACATTCAGGCAAGGCAATGAAGAGAGAGAGACCTCTCCCATCACATCCACACAGCACACTCGCACGGAGGTGCATGTCTGTCTATGTCCGTGTCGGTGTGTGTGCAGGAAGATGCAGTTTTGCATTTGGTGTTGCGGCTGAGGGGCGGCAGATGACTGACCGACCGATCGACACACAGACGGATGGATGGACTGATGGGTGTGTATACTTGTACATAGTGATGAGGGAGGGGAGGGGGAGGGGTGTGGGCATTTTTGACTCAATTCACTAATCACTCGTGTCGTGTGACCGACCTGTGGGGATGGATTGATTTAATAGCTCATGTATCTGTCTGGGTCTGTCTGTCCGAAGAAGCTCACAGGCACCACTACTCCACCTCACACAAAACCAACCAACCAGAACCACCGTGCCACACACACGTCCCTCACTGATCCTTCCATCGACACGAGGCAAATAACCCACCCACCCCCCAGCACACTCACACACACAAAGGGACAGACACGTAAAGATACATGCCATGCACTTAGCTTACCCCTCCTACCTACCCTCCCTCTCAGACACCCCACAGGTGTCGTGTACGGAACAATCAGTCTGCAGTCAGTGGGCGGGTGGGCGGGGGGAGAGGGAAGGAGCATTATAAGCACAAACACACACACACGTACACCCTCCCTCCCTCCACCCTCCCTATCTCCCTGTGCAAAAAAAAGTTGATTGACCCAAGATAAGATGCATTGGAATGGATGGAATGATGAAAGGTGGGAGTCATTGTCATTGTGTGCGATGGTATGTGTTTGCTGTGTGTCGTGCGTCTGCGTCTGCGTACGCGTGTGCGTGTGCGTGCGGATGCATCAAACTGGCACACACGCGCACACACGCGCACACACGCGTGTACTTACGGTAAGGAATGCGTGATGATGTGTGGCAGCAGCGATAAAAACTGACACACACAGACAGACAGGCGGGACACTTCAAGCTTCTCACCCCCACCCTCACCCCGCCCCCACAACCACAGTGAGAGTGTCACGGGTCATAAATTAGAACAAGACAGACACCGAGACACACACACACACACACACAGACAGAGAAAGACAGAGAAAGATGACAGAGGCGATTTAGTTAGCAGCAAACGGGCCCCGATATCTCTCTCTCTCACACACACACAGACACACGGATGCATCATCAACATAGACTAGATGGCACACACACACATACACATGCACACATGGCTGCAACTGCACTCACTCAGCCCCACTTTTGTCTTGGATCTTGAAAGCGCACCCCCGCCCAGCCACCTACAAACACACACACACACACACAAACGACACGAGAGGTTCGGTTTCGGTTCGCTCAGTCAGCGAACACATGTACGCAGGCAACAAAACAGCCAACACCCAACACCAACGCTCGTCTACTGACTCAATAAACAGCAGGCAGCCGCACAGCCACAACCACACACACAACCACAGCCACAGCCACACACACACACAAAGGCTCACACACGCACTCTTGTAACACATAACAAGTAGATAAACGATATGCGAAACGATATGCGCCTGCAAAGGCGCAAGGGCACACGATAAACCAGCCAGCCGACCACCAAACCACCCTGACCTCACGCCGAGAAAACAAAACTGTGCACACCTCGTGTGTGTGAGCACAACCGTGTGTGTGTCATCTGTGCCGACGTGTGCAGGGACCGATCCCCAACAGACACGAACATGTGACTGTCAGAGGACAGCACTCCCTCAGGCACAACAGAAGACACACCCACACATCCACACACACCTGCAGACCAACAAAAGCAGAGAGAGAGACAGACAGAAGCAGAGACAGAGACAGACAGAGAGAGAGAGAGAGAGAGAGCGAGGGAGGGAGCCAAAAAGCCCTACCTCAGTCAGTCAGTCAGTCAGTCAGCTGACAGACCGAGC